TATCCTGCTGAATCCATTTCAATTTCTGTTGTTTTGTTTGCTAACCTGGCCTCTCATACTCTATATAATATATATATATATATATATATATATATAATGTCACCGCCACTGGCTGTAAAGGTTCTCGAAAAGGGCCACGGACCACCACTTGCTAATCACAGTTGTAGCTTGTTTTGCAGCTCGGGACATGTTTTATTAGTGAGACTAGGAGCACAAATGGCTGTTTTGATCGTAAAGGTTGCAGACCCCTGCTCTAACCGATGTAGCTGATTTATTGTAACTAAAAAAACGTCTGCAGCTGTTGGCTTCAGCAACAAGAAAGTCCACTTGTTCCTCCTCCCTGACTGAGGAAACATGACTTGGAGCATAGACTGACTGGCAGCAGCTGGAAGAACTAGCCTTCATTAGCTGTTCCTTTAAATCAATAAAAACATTGTCAAGTCTTAAAGTTACAGTTTTATTAAAACTACAGTAACATCTTTTATTTCCTCATCTTCAGACTGCACTTCAACAGTGAAGCACAACTCACAAGAAGCGATTGACTCTCAAGTCTCTTGGCAGGAAACAAGTTTGACATTCAGTAACATCACATGAAATTCTTTAGCCGTGCAGAAACATGAGTCTAAAGCTGTTCCGCCCTTCTGCGCCCCACAGGCCCTGTAATGGCAGACTCTTTGGGTGGTGCCTGAGCTTCTCTCTCCTTTTCCTCATTTGTCCTCCAGACACAAAACACTCCACCCACAGAGGAACACCATTGTTCTTTTTTTGTGAGGAATTCATTTCATTTCATTCGATTTCTGGTCTTTTATTTTAACTTAGAGTCTGGGTAAAGCCAGTGGGATTCAATGGGAACATTTAACGAAAAGTCACTTTAAATAAATGTACAAAACTGCAAAGGTGCTGTGTTATGATGGGTTTTTTTTTTATGCATCGACTTCTGCACAGGATGTTTTGGGCAGGCCTCACATCTGGGTTCCATGATGCAGGAACTAAAGAGCCACCACCCTGGGAGGATGTTCTTTCAAGTTTTTCTTTTCTCTTTTTGTTTTTTGTGTGTGGAAAAAAACATAACAAAAGCTGCAACACAAGCTGTAAAACTCTCCTCAAATAAATCCAAGTCTTGTAACTGTTGATATTGAGTTGAAGGAATATCTCAGAAGCAGCCGGCAGGTTGCCTTTATAAAACAAAAAAGAACTAGCAATCATGAAGAAATGCATATCACCCGCTGTCTTACACTGTCAGTTTTAAACTAAGAGCATCTTAAGGTGAGAAAAGATGGAGCTCTACTTGTTTTGGTCAAACATTAGAAATGATGTGAAAAATCTCGTGCAATGACGTGAGATTAAAGTATGCAGTGAATATGTCTTCAATTACCACAGCTCAGTGACGACGCTCTGTTTTTAATAAGCTGGGCGTGGCTCTCATCTACCACCACATCACATTTCAAGAGGTTTATTTTTTATTTAAGATCAGTTAATTTAATGTATACGCTCATTACTGTCAGAGTTTCAGTGCAATCTGGTTGTTCATGAGTTACCTTCTCAACACGATGGACAAATGAGCACACAAACACACAAGCAAAACACCTGGTTGCTCCTTTAGCCTGAGTTTAAATATGCAAATGACTCTGTGCTTTCAGACCTCAGAGAGTTGCTGCACCTGGCAGGTTGACAGAAAACGAGAGCCCATTAAAAGAGCTGTCAGGTGAAACAATTAAAAAAAAAATAAGAAAACTCCTGTAAGACATTAATTCCACACAGATTGACTGATTTACAAGCAAATGTGCTGATCGGGACCAGTCGGCTAAAACTGGTAGCGAGAACAAAGAGCGTGGAAAAGGTTTGAAATGGAAACCTGCAGGCCGAACACAAAAAGATGTCAAAGCTTCAGCACAAGAAAATGAAAGTGTTAGGTCTTTTAAAAACAGAATGAGAAAACAGAACAAAACTTCATCTTAAAAAAGATGAGAGGATGTTATTAGAAACTAAAAACATGAACGCCAAACAACAATTATCATGTGTGCAGTAAAATCGTCTAAAATCATAAAACTTGAATTGCAAATGTGCAAAAACCATAAAGTATATCAAAATACTAGTTCAGTCCTTTAAAGTGCAAATTCCTGTGACTGGTTTAAAATTTGAATGATGCTTTTACTGTGAAATATGTCTGAGCCATAGAGCTTTAAAGACAGCTGTGTTTTACTAATATTTTGCTAAAATCCTGCTGTGCACATAGAAATTTTCCCAGTTTTTGTGGGTTTTATTTACACCGTGTGATGAACGGCTCCTAAAAGTCACAGCACACTTTTCCGGATCGAGCTGCATGTTTTGATGTATATTTTGTAACATTTCTTTTTCGCAGCTGCAGGAGGAGCAGTGAATCAAGAGTTGTGATGAAACAGAAGATTAATGACTGAATAGGAGCAAAGGTGCCCATAAACTCCTTATATTTCCTGTCTTTACTCTCTGCTTTATGTTGCAGCTTAGGGGCTGAGTCGTAACAAAACCATTAAGGCTTCATGGCGTTATTGACCTCACTCAGTCAAGCATGGTGCAGCATAATCCATTAAAAAAAACATTTAGGTTCAAGCAGCAAGAAGCAGGAATACCCATCAATAATTCCAGCAGCTCACATCATGTTTGACTCGGAGTTACTTACAAGCGATTAGCTGTAAAATGCCAGTGCAGGTGAACCTCTGGCCTTTGGGCAGCGTGAACAACTGGGCCACAAACACGAACAGGGCCAGGATGGTAAAAACACAGGCCAGAACCGAAGTCCCCTGCACCGCCTGGAGGTAGTCTGCAGCAGATGGACAGAAAAACAAATAACAGGAGAAATTGTAGTTTCTGTGAAAACACAGTGTTAATCTTCACAATACTGAGATTAAATCAGAATTCAGACTTTTTTCTCAGAATTAGGAAAATGTCAGAAACTTTAATCACATATTTCCAAGAGAAAAGTCAGAATTCTGACTTTAAAAAGCACACACCCCTAATCCTAACTCTAAAACGTCAGAATTCTGAGATTAAAATGACTTTCATCTCAGAATTCTGACAATAATCTTAAAAATCTGAGAAAAATAATCTAAATTCTGACCTTTTTCCCAGAATTAGGAAAATGTCTGAATTGTGAGAAAAAAAAGTCAGAACTCAGGAAAAAAAATATTTTTCTTTGCTCTGTGACCCTGATCCTCTTCTGTAGAACGCTGAGTGCAGAAAACAGCCCAAGAAGCTAAAACTATGTTGCTAAAAGTACTTGACGCTAGCTATAAGCAGCTAAAGGTTAGCTAAAATTAACAACAGGTTATCTAAAGGCAGCAAAAGGGTAGTTAAAAGTAGCAAAATGCTAAGCTACAAGTAGGAAAATGATAAGCAAAAGACAAAGACAGCCAACATATTTGTTCAATATATTTATATGAATAAAACATTTTTAATTAAGTAATGT